CACTTATATATATATATAGATATATAGATATATAGATATGTATATATATACACGCATATGTATGTGTGTATATATATACGTGTGTGTGTATATATGTATATATACACACTAGTGTATATATACACAGAATATACATATATGAATATACAGAATATATGCACACACACTTTGCTCAGATTTGTTTACAAAATATGTAGCATTTTTATACCATCCAGTAAGAGGTACATGATTTTAAACAAATCTTATAGAAATGACATGTTATTGGAAATTTACACGTAAAAAAATCCAGCACAAAAAAATCCAAAAGCTAAAACAAGATTTTGCTACTAATCAGTGCTTCTATCACCCTTCAAGAAAAGAGAAACACAGTTATTTATATGTGATGTAAAGGCAACATTGAGGGGTTTTTTGCTTTTTTTTAAATTAACCACCAAATTTAACCCCCTAAAATTACAAAGAATCAAAGTCCATTTACAGATCAAGTGCAGTAAACTAAATGTTCCTTCAGCACAAAGCAGCACTAGAGAACAACTGGGAGAGGGAAGGTGGAGGCCAACTGGCTTAGCTAGGGAGGCAGCAGGTGGCTTCTGCAGTGGCCACACAGGTCAGTCTCCATCCTGAAGCACAGACAGAACCGAAGACTGTATTTAAATAATGGTCACACAGAGCTGATGTTCAGGCCTTTGCCTAGCTTCTTTCAGCAGTTTGACAAGTGATTTATGTATTTTTATTATTTTGTATCCAATGGGCTGTTTTTGCTTTTGCAGTGGCTTGTCACTGAGAGGAGTCATAAGGAGGATTTTGCAGACAGTTCTGCCACTAACATTTGTCACAGGTACACGACACTGCAGTTGTCAGTGGCAATTTTGAAATGTTTACACTGGACAAATGTGTGTTCCGAGTGTCCAAAATGGCTTGAAAGAACATACGATGCAGGGGGGAGCGGACAGCCTGGAGAATCCATTGCATTTACAGAAATGGAACTACTGCTTTCAATCACGCGGCCTCTCCCCGGTTGTGTGAAGAGTTTGGTGTCAATGTCAGCTGAACTCAGTGAGGAGTGGCTGGCCTTTGCATCAGATGTCTGTGATCCAAGCAGGCTGCGGAGCCAAGAACATGCTGCTAGCAGAAGGGCAGTCTACAGCTGCAGATTACAGCTGTCATGCAGTCAGCGATGCCTTATAGATATTCACCTGTAGGAACCATGCGTTCCCTGCTAATTCACCTGAAGTCCCGTAAACAGCAAAAGGAAAAAATGAAATGAAAGGGCCAGGCAGATCTGTGTGTAATATTACTATCCTTTGAATGTAGTGTCATTTTTGTTGTTAAATAAGGGGCTTGACCAGGAGGACTCTATTTTGTGAGCCGGAGAGAAAGCTCTTGTCTTGTGAAAGTGAAAAGGAGATCTAATGCTCCTTGTGCTAAGTTTTACAAATTAAGATTTCTGTATTCAGAAGGTAATTTTTCAGAAGACAAATCTGTTCAAGTCACGCTGTGTAAAATTGTGAAGAGGCAGACAGGAATTTTTCAGCTGTAGTTATAATACCTCTGGAGCATGAAGTCAGGAAGGGGTAGTTTCTCCATTCTAGAAGCTGGTTTGGAAAGTCATTTCTGGGGAGGTGGTAAGAGTGACCTATTCACAGGCTCTTTTTTTGTGGATGGAGAGACTGGGAAGGTACACAAATCTCCACAGTGGTCTGCAATCCAGCTTGGGAGCTCAGTGTTGAGAAGGGATGGGGCCAGATGTGTTCAGTATTCTTAAGAACCAGAAAACATGTCCATTGCAGCCTGTTGTTGCAGGGGATAGAGAACTTACTCCATTATTTGTAACATGTTCTATATGCCAATAACCCCAGCTGGCACATACAGCAAAGTAGATACATTGCATGTGAAGATTTAACGCATCTCACAGCCATCCAAAGAGGCATCCAGGGAAGAGTATGGGGAATGAATTCAGCTACGTTCTCAGAAAGTCTGAATGTCTCCCTGGACTGCAGGTACACACTGCAGCAAATACGTGAGAAAGGCAGCCTTATCTTGGATGCCAGGAGTGTGAGGGCTAGTGGAGGAGGGATTATTTTCCTGTAATAGGAGCAGGGAATATCTCAAAGAATAGAAAGGTGCCTCAACTCCACGAAGATGACAGTGGAGAGGTTCAGAATCTAGAGTAGAAGGGCGATTCTGGCAACCCCTTGCCAAGGAGGGGGCATCCTGCCATGGAGAGCCAAAAGTTTTCCAGACGTATGTAAGAGCATGTGCACAAGGCAAGCGAATGAGCGCAAACAGGGTTATGGAAAACATTGAGAGAATCACTCCACGGGTGGCTTGTGGCTCAACAACAGGATTGGCCAAGTATAGGAGCACACAGCACAGGGGCACCTCAGAGCTGGAAGCCTTCCATGGGAGCCTCACACTGCTGGAAGATGTACTGTTGCTGGCTGAGATCCACCTGTGGGGCAATGCTGCTGTCTTCATCCTCTGTTCCAAAGTAGTGCTCAATCAGATCAAAGGCCTTCTGATAAATCTCTTGGTTCTCATGGCTCTGCAGGAATTCAATCTTGTCCAGGCCTGCAGAGAAAAGTAGTACGTAAAAGTTACAGCTTGGTGAAAGCATATGACCATGATAATTTTCAGTCTGTTGTGAACATCAAGTTCCATGACAATTCTCTCCCACCTTCAGAAAGAACAGGTCCCTCTATGGAGACCCTTACCCAACTTGTACTCTCCACTCCCAAGGAAAAAGAGGTTTCACTACAGAGTTCCCTGTAACTATGTGATGTGTTTCATGTTTCCTGTCCGCCTCTACTCTCTCCCTCAAAAAATAAAATCAACAAGCTTCAATCTGTAAAGAACAAGGCCTCAAACACTTTTTCTGAAGAGACTTTTAGGACCATGTTTCCTGAAAGTGTGTTCACCGTGCTTTGTTTACAAGGTCCATGACTACAGAATCAAGTAACTGCAAGTTAGAAGAGACTTCTGGTAATCATCTAGTCCAACCTGCAGCCCAACCCAGAACTACTACCAACACCAGATTAGGTCAGCTGTGCCTAGCCAAGTCTTCAAGACTTCCAAGGATGGAGGCTCCATCACCTAATGTGTATCACGTGTATATACAATGCAGTTAAACTCATGCAACCAGTTTTGGGCAGACCTTAAGCAGGTGGGCAAACTTAAGCCTTGTAGTCAGAAACAGATGAAAATAATACAGCAAACTAAAATATTTTTGATACCTAGGAATGATGCTGTAATGAAGTACAAGTCTCAGCCACTCTAGTAAATCTCTAATATTGGGAATTGTAGTGGCTTTCTTGTCTGCTCCTTTTACTATGTATGAAGACTAGAGGAAACAATTCTCTGATACTCTACAGATATTTCTGCAACACTGACATGAAAAGGCAAGTTAAAACCTGGAACCAGGCAAGAAAAAATCCTGTTCTGATATAACTCTTCCCTGGCAGTCAAGGTAACCGTGAAGGCAACCATGGTTCAAGAAACCATGTTCAGCAATACTATTCTCTTCTACACTGCTCTTGATAATCCATTTTTATTTTTCTTAGTAAGTACTTGCCAATCGACAAGGAAACTAACCTTAAGAGCAGAAGCATCTCAAAACTGGGATGAAATGGTGCTGGTACATGCTAGAACCTCAGCACAGCAAAGGCAAACAAGGAAAGCTGCTGCTGCTGCCATAATTCTGCAGGGCAGCAGAGAGGGAAAAGGAACGTTTGAGACCTGAGCAACCGAGCAGTACACCTGAACTCTTATCTGCCGTGGAGGGAAGATACTGAGGCTGAATGACGCCCAGAAGTCTCCCTCAGGGTCAAAAGAAATTAAGAAAAGAAGATCTGCACACACTGTCTCCAATCTACATACAAAAATAATGTAAAAGATGGAGTACATTGGTAAATGGAGACTTGTCAAAGAACAGTTCATTTTCAGATAACAGTGATGGGGAAATTAATAGAATTTCGTCTACTGAAATTCTAATGGGTTCATGATCATTGCTTTAACTGCTGACTTCCATAGATGTTTTGCTCATACCATATGCTTCTTCAATAAGAGCGCAGTAAGGATTAATGCCAGTGCCACTTGGAGTACATTGGTAAATGGAGACTTGTCAAAGAACAGTTCATTTTCAGATAACAGTGATGGGGAAATTAATAGAATTTCGTCTACTGAAATTCTAATGGGTTCATGATCATTGCTTTAACTGCTGACTTCCATAGATGTTTTGCTCATACCATATGCTTCTTCAATAAGAGCGCAGTAAGGATTAATGCCAGTGCCACTGCTTTTGGATTCCTGCTCTCCAAGCCTCAGGATGTTCTCCAGCCCATTCAGTGCTACTTGCACAATCTTTGAGTCCATTACTGTAAGGAGGTCACAGAGTGGTTTTATGCATCCCAGTTCTACTAAATACCTGAAAAACACCACATGGAACCCAGTAAATTGTCTGCAAAATTATAACCAGTGTAGCCATTTAAGCACTTAGCGTGAAGGTCTAAGAATCAAAACAACCAGATAAAATATCAACTTGATTGGAGAAACTGGAGAAATTATATACATCTACAGGTATGAAATAATAATTTAATTTTGTAGTGTAATTTTATAATTCTGTAACTATAATTTATAAATAATTTATATTAACAGAAACTATATTTAACATATTTATAAGTTTATTATTTTGTTTTATAGAAAATTGCATATAAGCATAATGTACTGGGATAAGTTAAACAAGAAAAACAATGCACACGATGCCCTTGGCTGAAGGACTGAGCTATTCCTCTGCAGACTGCTAATATACTTTGTTACATTCTACCATGACCACTAAGAAATGAGTTTAAAAGTTGCATTTAGTTTTTTTCACATAAGAGTCATGGTTCAATTAATGAAGTAAGTATTACAGCTGAAATACATATGTGATTTCTTCCTAAAGGAATGAATGGCTTATTCACAACTCAATACAAAGACATGGTCTCTCTGGATACAAACAGTGGAAGCATACAGAAAGGTTTTCCAGTTTCTAGGTTGTTAGTTTGATTTCTTACACAAACACTAATTCACTCAATTGCCTTGAAAGATTTGAACTATTTCGTACTTGATCTGTTCAGCAGAGCCTCCAGATGTTGCATTTGTGATTGCCCAAGCAGCTTCCTTCCTTGTCCGAAACTCAGCTGTTTGCAAAATATTTATAAGAGCTGGAAAGATATGAGCATCTATGACTGTCTGCAAAAAGAAATAGCATGTCAGGTTATAATAAAAATTAGAAATAACTTCCTTGGCCTGAGGAGCTAATTAACATCTATGCTCAGCACAACACATTAAACAATGAAAGGTTGACTTATCAGGGGGCAAAAAATCAGTTTTCAGCTTTACATTCAAACCCTAGATATCACCGGGGTCTGTGCTTATTCCAAAAGAATTCAAAACACAGTCAGATAGAAGTGACTGCCATATCTAATATGTTACTTAATCAGACCTTGACAGCAAAAGAATGCCATACTTCCCTTATTTTTCCAGGTAGTGAACCACTCAGCTATTAAGTCAGTAAACCACTAAGTCATTAAGATCCCCTAAACAGAGAAAAAATCTTCCTAAGCCTGTGTGTCATACGTCAATCTCCACTGGGTGAGACAAACAGCAAAGAGAGAATGTATTGTAAGAACTCCTCAAAACAAGCAAACACCAATATATTCTTTCCAGGTGAAAAGACAAAGCAACACATGATTCGGTAGCATGGTTAACTGCTTAGCTCACCAAACTCATACAAGTCAAATGAGTATTTAGTCAGCAGCTGAAAGTTTCTAGTAACTTCCTCTGGAAAGAGCCTTTTGCAGTAAGACAGAAATGAAACCAATTTAGTTACACACGTATGACAAGGATCTGTAACACTTTCGTAAGGATCATTCAAAGAAGCAAGAGCTTAGGATTACATTTTTAAACTACCATTTTACAAATATAAGTCATCACAGAACTGGTAAAGGCAAATTCAAAGGAAGCCAAAGAGATCCTTTCAAAGGAGCTCCACAGAAGAAAACTATCAGATTACATATAGCAAAAAGCTATAGTCAGTTCACAGTGTGGATGGTTACCCAGTGGAAAAAAAAACCCACCCAGAACTGCTTGATACTTCTTTTACCCTTCCTGTTTGTCTGAACATCCACTCTGCATCTACTTTGGTAATCCGTACCGCGTATCAGTTGTATCAAAAGTCCCATGAACACTGTTTCCTTTACCACAGAATCTGCACTTCTAGTACAGCAATCTGGGGTCCTCAAGGAAAACCACTTACACTTACATCATGCCATGTTATATTAAATTTGTATTTTGCAAAGAATATTTGGCAGAAAGCCCTTAACTCTAATCTTTTAACATGAATGCTGGAAGTGGTAGGTCATAAACAGGAGCCAGCTATGCAAAAAAAAAAAAAAGACAAAAGATAAAAAGTCTTAAAAAAAAGGATGCATTTTCCTCCCTGACATGTTTTACTGGGAAAAAACAATTTTAAAAAAATATACAAAAGCAACATACTGTAAGGGTATGTGGAATGTGACAGCATCTGCTTCATTAAGGTTATCAGATCAAGGACCTTTTCAGCTCAAAGGGAGATATAAATAACAGGAAAGTAATAAATAAAACACAGGGTGACACAAACCTGATAGACAAGGGATAAGAGAGACAATCACAAAGAGAGAAAGTCTCCAGTCACTAATTAACGGGCCATTAAGAAACTACAGGCATGGCTTTGCAGAGAGCCAGCCTGGACTTTGTAACTGATAAGACAGGGACAAGGGGGACTGTGCAAAACTTAGTAATGAATCTCTTCTTAACTATCTTACCACATAACCTCCCTCTCTGGCCCACATGAGTGCTGTAAAGATTAGGTGCTAGCAACTGAGACCAGCGTGAGTGAATTTGGGCCAGGAACTAAATCAGACCCTCAGGAGAAACCCCTGTGTCTGTGGGGCCAGCAACTGGAGTGGGTGGGGGTCCTGGCCTCAGTAGCTGGAGCTGGGGGACTAGGGAGCATGTTTCTTGGGGTGTCCAGAAAGGATGAATTCAGGACCAGCAACCAGTGTCAGACCTTGGGTGAAGGGGCTGCTCCAACTGGAGCAGGTTAGGGTCCCAGCATCAGCCACTGGCGCAGGTTCACAGTCCACAGTGCCCGTGCGCCTGGATGCCAGCTGCTCAGGGGACTGGGGTGAAGCTGAGGGAGGGTCTCAGCACCTCAGCTGGAGTGGGACTGCAGGTCACAGGACCCATGTACCTGGGCACCAGCTCCGTGGGGTGGGAGGGATTTACATTTTCCCTAAATATGGTGGTGGGAGTGGAGGAGCACAGTATACATAATTTGCTGGCAAATTTCAAGCTGGACTAGGTGGCAAGTAGGAGGCCCAGGTTCCAGGCATGGACAGAATCAAGCTGGACTAGCCTGTGAGTAGGAGACAAGTACAGTGAGTTAAGAGCACTCAGGATCCAGGCACAGACAGCAGACAGGCAGAGAGCCCACACTCATATTCAAGAGATCTGTGAACGTACGTGTATGCTTGTGGATCTAGAGAGTGAGGGCATGTGCATTTTCACTAGTGAACTTCAGTCCTAAGGAGCTGGAGAGGAAAAAAGGGACTTGGCAGTCTATGCTTACATTTTATGTGAGTCCAGGTAGTGCTATACAAGGGTGTTGTTGAGGTGGAAGCCCTTATAAGAACAGTGTGTTAAGGTATGTTAAGTATTCTTTACCAAAAAAGCTTGATATAGATCTAGGATAGGACACGTTGAGGGCATTAGTATTTTACTATTGTAGCAAAGAACAAGTCAAAAATCTCATTATCACTTCTTAAATCCTCTCCCCAAAAGAAAACTTTTACATGAGATTTATTTCCTTAGAAAGTGTCTTCTTAAAACCAACTTCTTTAGTAAGTACCAAAATCAGAGCATGATAGCATGCGACTAAGTCAGCGTATCTTAGCTGACAAGGTGGTAACATACTTTGAGCCTTCTTAGTGCTTCCCCCCCAAAAGAAAGATACCTTAAAATGTTTCAGTTTAAACTTGTAAAATACTAGGAGAATTCCAGAACAAAGGGAACTAGCAATGGGAGGGCAGCAAGTGGGAGAATCACAAAAGATTGTTATTGCTTTCCTTCTGGCTCAATCAATTTTGAACTCTGCTTCAATGCAAAGACTGGTGGGTAAAATTACTCCTCAGAGCGGAGAAATGTGCATTTGAACCTTTTCAGAAGGAACTGAATCCAGATCTCACATTTCTTGGATGAGTGCTCTTACTTCTAATTCCACTTATTTCTATTTCTTATCCTGTTGCATAAAAGGTTATGGCCACCTGGTTTACTTTCTGCTCTACAGTGAAGTTGGCTATCTTTACCCAAGCAGAACAGGTTAAAACAGCTTAAAAACAGGTTAAAAAAAGAATTGCAGCCTCTCATAAGGCACTTCACTGAAAGAGACTGGCTCAAGAGAGAAGCTGATTATCAGCCACTGTATTTTTATATTTCCTACTGTTCGACATGCAATTAAGTGTTGTCACCACCTCACCCTAGCATGAGTCCCAGTTAAAGGTACTTAACTGTCCCTCTGTAGTACAGCAAAGTTTTTCAACTAGCAGTCTGTTGACAGTTGAAACTCTCAGAGCTTAGATTTTTTTTTTTAAAAAATACATTAACTAGGTCAGAAAATAGTATGCTATAACCTTAATATCTTCACTAGATTTCAAGAGTCCAGTTAAGCTCAACAAGGGTGGAAACAATAAAGCATGAATACAGAGAAAGTGCTAGCAGAATCTATTATTTACACTCCATGTCTTGCAGCCTTGCCCAGCCGTTAGTCTTGAAAGCAAAGTAGAATGCCTAAGGATTCCTAGCTCTATGACATTTTACATGGGAACAACAGTTATTGTGGAAACAGACCATGTTTCCCTTTCAATTAAATTCCTTCTAAGTGATAAAATAGTAAGCTACTGAAGTAGAATTTGGGTTGGTTTTTTTGTTTTGGGTTTGTTTTTGGTTTTGTTTTTGAAAAGCAAACCTCAGGCAGAGCAAAACCCTAAAGGACTGTGGCAGGATGAGGTACCTAAGACTTCTGAGGATTTAGAAAGTGTTAATTCAAATTACTTTATTTTTTAGCATTACTATACTCTGTGTGCCGACATGTGGAAGTGGGTTGAAGACTGAAGTAATGTAGTGCATATATAAATGCCTAAGATAAGCATAGCTTTCAAACAAAATGAGCACAGTTAAGGGGTTTCAGCTTTAAAAGAACTTTAAAAATGTGAAAGAAATAAAAAAGAAATTTAAAAAAGTCAAGTTGTAAACTAAGGACTGATGTACAAACTACTGAAGATCTCACTCTTTGTCACTTGCTCAAGTGTCCCACTATTCCTCAAAAAAATAAAGTGCCTTGGCCATTCATGAAAATAGTGGGCAACTGCCTCATACGTGCCATAAAGGATGTTTAAAAATTCCTTCTGAGCTGCTGATGCATTGTAATGCTTGTGTTTGTCTATGCCCTCTAATTGTGACCGAAACTTTTCAAGCAGTGTAACAGCAGGCCAACAGGGTAACCAAAACCTAAAGAAACACTCAAAAACCTGTATCATTTTCTATGGATTTTTCCAATCTAAATTAGTCTTGTGTTTGCATGCAAGAACAAAACATATGAACATCCTGCTTCCAACAGCAACCAACATCAAATGCACAGGCAATTGTAAACTCTAGTCATGTTTATTTCTCTTTTTCTCCTTTTTAAGTATTCACAGTTGTAGCAATGAGTTCCAGTTTGACTACGCCTGTATACGAAGATATGTTCTCGTTTGTCCTAAACGCAGCACCTAGTAATTTCCTTCAAAGATCTTGCTGAAAAACAAAGAGCAATCATTCCTCATTCACCTTCTCAGATGCCACTCGTGCTTCTGCAGCATTCTGCCACATCTCCCTTCACCTGTCTCAAAAAGTTGTTCCTCATATGGAATCCAGTTGATGTTTAATGGTCCCTCCTTACCACCCACTCCTACCATATCCTCTGAAGATGGATCTACATACAGGGCAACACTGAAGATTTATACTAGAATAAGGATTCCCCTTTTGGTTTTTTTTATCCCTTTCCTGATGATTTCTAATATTCACATTGGTTTTAGGCTGCTACTACTAAGCACTGAGGTGGTATCTTTAAAATATATTAGAAATCTCATTTCTGCATAACAGGTAATCCAGAG